AAAAACCCAGCCCCTGAACTGCCGACGCGTGGATGCTTTTTGGTCCTGGTTGGAGCTACCAACCGGGACAAAAGGTCCTCCTGCCCGAGCAAGCCGCAGCGGCCACATGGATCCCCATCTGTCCCGGTTCATAGGCGAACCGGGACTAAAGGTAATGGGCTTTAGTACCGACCCTTTAGTCCCGGTTCCGGAACCGGGACAAATGGGCCTCTAGAACCGGGACAAATGGGCATTTTTCTACTAGTGCTTGTAGGCGGCCTGTAATTCTACCTGATATTGGCGATACCGCCAGCGGTTGCGGCGGATGTCACCGGCGGAGCTGTAGGAATCGAGCAGCACCGCCTACTCCGCCATGTCCGCGTTTGGCGCGATGGCCATGCCGGCGGCGAGTTGCTCCTCTGCCTGCATGTGCTCGTCGAGGAGATGAAGGTTGTTGGCATGGTCGGCCTGCGTCTCCCGGAACATGGCCTCCCACTCCTCCCGCACCATGTCCATATACTGGGCACGGGCCTCGTCGATGGTGATGTCGGCATGCACCGATGAGGAGGGTGGCATCGGCTCATCCTCGGTCGCACCCTCCATTAGGAGGTCGTCGGCCTTTGTCTGCCTGTCGGCCTATCGGCCGGCAGCAATGGCGGCTATCTCCTCTTTTGGTCGGGCGAGAGGTTGTCTCAGAGGGCTTTGGAGCACGAGGAGGCCAAGGTGGGCGTGGTGCGAAGATGTCAAAGGGACAAGAGGAGGATGACATACTGCGGCTAAGGCCAGGGCTGGAGTTTATATAGCGGGTGGATGGCAATGGTGGGCTGCAGATGGATGGGCGGGTGGCGCCGGAGTAGGTTACTCGGCAATCGCATATCATTGATGTAGCGCGACGAACCGCCGTGGTGTCTTATCTCTACACAATTATACTTCTAACTGTTTGAACGCGGAGCGGTCGCGTGCACCAGGAAGCAGCACGGGGCGGCGCTCTCTTGACCGGCGTGCCGCTTCAATACCGACAAGAGTGATAGATCGCGTCTGATCAGACCGGGCATGAATGCAGCACTGACGCTCTAGAGCGGCGCTAGCCATTTCAGACGAGAAGCGTGCGGGGGAGAAGGGTGGGGTGGGCTAGGGCAATCAGGAACGAAAATGGCAGCAGTCCGGACACGCACAAAACCCTCCATTTTGTTTCCGGTTTGTGCGAAAAATTGTATCCGCACAGCTGAACGGACCGATATAGTATCGTGTTGGATGACGGAACACAGTCGGGACGCTTTGAGGGTCGAAGTTGGTGACGCGCTTGCTAGTCTAATTTACTCCCACTATGTATGCCAAGGTGATTGTAATGCACCTCCTATCTAATGAAAGCGTTTCTTTAAAGAAAATACTGTACCCGATTAGCGATCTTAGTCAAATGACTCTGCAGAGCGCAGATCTCGATGTGCCGTTGGTAGCACATGCGGGCATCTCTACATTGTCAGTGACAGGACAAAAACCAAACTACGGCCGAGTAAGATCAGCATCTAATCTTGGATATTAGGCTCCGCATTCTCAAGGTGCGTCAATCCTGACGCTATGTACTGATGTTCGCATCCTCTACGGTGCGTCAATCCTGACGCCACGCACCGACGACGCCGGCCGGCCGGCCTCTGCCGGCTTGGGTGTCGACGCCACCAATCAACACAAAGACGCGGCCTCTGCCGGCTTGGATCTGTCGACGTTCTTTAAATCACTCGCTGACTCTGCTAGCTAGCCTCCTCAGCCTCTCATCGGATCCTCTGAGCCAGGAGCCCACGATGTCGACCGATGAAGAAGTGAAGGCGGAGGCGGCGGCGGCGCACTTCGTGTTCGTCCCGCTAATGGCCCAGGGGCACATCATCCCTGCCGTCGACACCGCGCTGCTGCTGGCCACTCAAGGCGCGCTCTGCACCATCGTCGCCACGCCGTCCACGGCGGCGCGGGTGCGCCCCACCGTCGAATCCGCCCGGCGCTCCGGCCTGCCAGTCAGCCTCGTCGACTTCCCGCTCGACTACGCCGCGGTCGGCCTGCCCGACGGGGTTCCAGGCGGGGCGGACAACATGGACAACCTCCCCCCGGAGTACATGCTGGCCTACTTCTCCGCCGTCGCGCTCCTCCGGGGGCCGATCAAGGCCCACCTCCGCGACCGCGCGCCCCGGCCACCGACATGCATCGTGTCCGACTTCTGCCACCCGTGGACCGTGGAGCTCGCGGCCAGCCTCGGCGTCCCCCGGCTCAGCTTCTTCAGCATGTGCGCCTTCTGCGTCCTCTGCCAGCACAACGTCGAGAGGTTCAACGCCTACGACGGCGTGCTCGACTACAACCACCCGGTCGTCGTGCCGGGGCTGGAGAAGCGGTTCGAGGTGACGAGGGCGCAGGCCCCCGGCTTCTTCCGGGGCTGGCCCGGGTGGGAGAAGTTCGCCGACGACGTGGAGCGCGCGCGGGCCGAGGCCGACGGCGTCGTCATGAACACCTTCGTGGAGATGGAGCCCGAGTACGTCGCCGGCTACGCGGCCGCGAGGGCGATGAAGGTGTGGACCGTGGGGCCGGTGTCTCTCTACCACCAACACGCCGCAACGCTGGCGGCGAGAGGGAACACCGCGGCAATCGACACCGACGACTGCGTCCGGTGGCTCGACGACAGGGAGCCCGGCTCCGTGGTCTACGTCAGCTTCGGCAGCATCGCGCACGCGGACCCGAAGCAGATCTCGGAGCTCGGCCTGGGGCTGGAGGCGTCGGGCTACCCTTTCATCTGGGTGGTCAAGGACGCCGGCCGCCACGACGAGGCCGCGCTCGCCTTCCTCCGCGAGCTCGAGGAGCGCGTCGCGGGGCGTGGACTGCTCGTCTGGGGGTGGGCGCCGCAGGCGCTCATCCTGTCGCACCGCGCGGCGGGCGCGTTCGTGACGCACTGCGGCTGGAACTCGACGCTGGAGGCGGTCGCGGCGGGGCTGCCGGTGGTGACGTGGCCGCACTTCACGGACCAGTTCCTGAACGAGAAGATGGCGGTGGAGGTGCTGGGGATCGGCGTCAGCGTCGGGGTGAAGGAGCCAGTGATGTACCGGATGGATGAGAAGGATATCGTGGTTGGGAGGGAGACGGTGGAGGCCGCGGTGAGGAGCGCCATGGACGGCGGGGAGGATGGCGAGGAGAGGCGCTGCAAGGCCCGTGCGCTCGCGGTGAAAGCGAGGGCGGCCATGCGGGAGGGGGGCTCGTCGCACGCCAACATCCGCGATCTGGCCAAGAGTTTCCAGGTGGGCGCCACACAAGATACCCCCGAGTGATACCTGCGGAGTGTGTTTATAGCATGTAGCTGTCGAGCTACCGAGAGCCTAAAATGCCGTTCCAATCAAGGTTTTAAGACATTGAAAACTTGTACACTACATTTGATCTATTTTTGTACTATTTTTTATCAATGTGGAACGGTGGAAGGCTTTAGCAGAAGTATTAGTGATTTTTTGAGATTATTAGAATTGGCATGTGACGCGACGGTATTTGGTTGTTTGTATTCTGAATTCGAATTTTCTCTAATTCATGTGTTGAATCCAGGATGTTCTAATGTTCGTGCATGACAATTAGGGACCTTTTATTGGCAAGTGGTCTGAATTTTTCTCATGCAAATCACTTTTTTGTTACGAGTAAATAGAAACATAAAATTTAACTTAAAACCATATAACCACAAAAAAAAATACCATAAATAAAAAGGAAAAGATATATTATTCTAAGGTGTAGTTGTTTAGGAATTTTAAAGACACACATGGCATATAATGGTATTGCTTGAACAACCAACTTGAAACTTGAGTAGAATTTCCTACCCCTTGACGAAAGTAGTTTTTCTTGCCATCCATTCACTCTTTGGACAACCCTTTCAATCAAATATTTGGAGCAAAACAGTTTTGTCCATACCAATAGTGGAAGGCTTATTGTTCAAAGCTTCTGTCATAATATCAAGAATTGTGAAACCTGCTCTCATAACAACATTTGTATTTGGATCAAATAAGATGCTTGACTTCTCCAAACTAATCTATTGGCCGTACGCAGAACATTAGGTATCAAGAACGTTCTTTAAGCATGCAACATTATCAGGTGTTGCCTTCATAAGTATCAACAAATCATCTGTAAAAAGGAGTTTGGTTATCAAGGGAGCTCTCTACAAACCTGAACTCCCATCAGTCCATTATCTCGAGCATGAGAGAGCAAAGTAGTAAGGCCTTTAGTGGATAATAAAAGCAGGTACGGGCAAAAGGGGTCTCCTTGCCTGAGCCCCCTCAAAGGTTTGAAACAACCTGGTTCCTCATAATAAAATCAGACTGTATGGTCCTTTAAAAAGACCCAGTGATCTCGATCATATGTTTTGTTCATGTCCGATTTAACCGCACACAAACCCTCTTTTCCGTCTCATTTATGTTTTATTTTATGGTAACACTCATATGCCACAAGCACTTCGTGAGTGATCATTCTTTCCAGACACAAAAGCGCTTTGTGTTAGACTGATGATCTCTGGCAGAAAAGTTTTCACGCGGCTTGCAAGCATCTTAGAAATCACTTTGTTAACAAGATTACATAGACTTATAGGCCGAAATCGCTTTACCTTCCCTGGACACGTGATCTTTGGTATCATCACAATAGTTGTATCGTTCCAACCCCAAGGAATAAATCCCGAGTTAATTGTCTCCAAAGCCTCACCAACAAGGTCATCTCTCAACATAGGCCAGAAACGTTTATAAAAAACCAAGTGCAGACCATTCGGTCTTAGTGTTTTCATATCACCAATATCAAATAGGGCTTTATGGAAGTCACCCTTCGTTAAAGGTCTGAGAAAACTATCATTAAGATCGATTGAAATGCTTGGCCGAACATGATACAATACTACATGGTATGGCTCAAAAAGTTCGGAAGTAAATAGGTTAGTTAAATAACAAGCGGTACGGTCTTTTAGTCCCGTACCTTGACACCACATGTCGGTGTCATCTAGGAGCTTTTTTATCTGATATCTGCATTTCTTTGTCGCGGCTGGTTGATGAAAGTAATTTGTATTTCAGTCTACATGTAATAACCAGTCAGCTCTTCCTCTCTGCAACCAAAATACTTCTTCCTAGTCAAGCAGTTTCTCAATTAGAACTTGCAATTCATGAGAACGAGATTCTTCATTTACAGGACCCTCCGAGCATTTTCCAATTCAGCCTTTAGCTTTTTAATTCTTTTTTTTTGCCTTTCAAAACCTCTCGATCCCACCTATGCAAATCAACATGTACAACCTTGGTCTAGTTAGCTAGGGATGGTTTGGTTCCAGCTAACTGAGCTTGATTCCTTGTATTAGAGACTGTTTCTGCGACACTCTATTCCTCAAGCCATTTGGCTTCAAGTCCCCCCCCCCCATTGCCTTGTTAGGAGATACATCACATCGTAATAATCCATGTGTAGAACCAATGGACGATGGTTAGAATGAACATGTGGTTTGTGAACCACTACTTCTTGAGAGAATTTCATCGTGCAACCACCATTGCAAACTGCATGATTGAACCTTTCTTGGATCACCATTCTTCTCCAAGTAAACAGGTCACCCATGAAACCCATATCATCTTGACCCAATTTTGAGATGCAATATCTAAAGTCCTTCATCACCACCTCCGATATCATATTTCCTCCCTCTATTTTACTAGAAAAAAATCATTAAAATCACCAATGAACACCTATGGGAGACATTTACCATGAAGATCCTTAATATCAGTCCATGTAAAATGTTCCATGCTGGGTGACCATATATTCTAGTAAGTCTCCAATCCGACACATAATATTTCATAATTACAACATCAATGAAATTAGGACCCGAGTAGTTCAACTCAACTTTATTATCCTCTTGATAGAGTGAAACAAAGCCTCTAGATCGATCATCACTTTCAACCACTGTCAAAAAGTAAAGAACCTAACTTGAGACGAAGTCCATCCTCCTGTATCCTACTAAGATGTGACTCCAATAAAAAATCACACGAACATGCCCTTGGAGATCCAAGAGCTCAGATAGTGCCGTGGTCAAGAGCAACGATAGTTCCAGTCTAGGTTTTTCATTGCTCTCGATGGTCCTCCACCTAGGAGGCAACCGATGTATCAACATTGATGGGATCAATCTTTGTTCCGTTACTTCCTTTTGAATTCTTTTTATTTGCTTATTTCATAGGTATTCCCTCTGGATCATCTTCTTCCTTTCTATTCCCATAGTTCTTAGCAATTTGTGCAACAACTAATAATGCTTTAGACTAGCAATTTTCGTCTACGATATTATTATTTTGAGATTGAGCAAGATTTTTTTTTAGTCATATTTTCTTCTTTTGTGGGACGCAACTACAAGTTTCCAAGGGGTCGCAATCGTACGGTTTAAATGAGGTTGCGACTTCAATTTTTCAATGGGGGCGCAACTGCAAGTTTTCAAATGGGTTACAATTGTAATGTTTTCAACGGGGGTTGCAACTACAAAGTTTCAAGTGGGGTCGCAATTACAAATTTTTAACGAGGTCGCACTTGCAAGTTTGAATACAGGTCGCAGCTGCAGAGTTTTTATGGGGAGTCACAACTACAAGTTTTCAAATGGGGTCGGATCTGCACGTTTTTAATATGGGATCTATCACAACAGTGAGTTTTCAATGAGGTCACAACGCCATGTTTCCAAGGGATGCGCAACTACAAGTTTCAAGGGGGGCGCAAATGCAAATTTTCAAATGGGGTAGCAAATGCAAGTTTTCAAGGCGGTCTGACCTGCTAGTTTTAAATGGGGTCGCAACTGCAAGTTTTCTAATGGGGGCGAAGCCGCAAGCTTTTAAATGGGGTCGCAAGTTCAAGTTTTTAAACATGCAGTAGCTACAAGTTTTTAAAAAGGGCCATAACTGTAATTTTTCAAGGGGAACACAACTAAAAGTATTCAACTAGCTCAAAACCGCAAGTTATCTAGGGGAGACGCAATTGTAAGTTTTTAATGGGGGTCACAACTACAAGTTTTTACATGGGGCCGCAACAGCAAGTTTTCTAGTGGGATCATAACTTCAACTTCAAATGGGGTGACAACTGTAAGTTTTTAGAGGATCGCATATGCAAGTTTCCAAATGGGGTCGTAACTTCATGTTTTCAAGAGGGGTTGCAACTTCAAATTTATAAATGCCCCGTAATACTCTCGTGTGATTTGGGCATGTTTTGTGAACTAAACATGCAAGCTTGTAGAATTAATTGTCTTCCAATCCTTTGTTTTACACAAGCATTCATATTGTATTATTTGGGTTTTCTACATTCCTATGTTTGCAAAACCCTGCGCAGCAAACATGCTTTTACTTTTGCATCCCAGCTCATGAAGGAAATATGCCCTAGAGGCAATAATAAAGTTATTATTTATTTCCTTATTTCATGATAAATGTTTATTATTCATGCTAGAATTGTATTAACCGGAAACATAATACATGTGTGAATACATGGACAAACAGAATGTCACTAGTATGCCTCTACTAGACTAACTTGTTAATCAAAGATGGTTATGTTTCCTAACCATAGACAACGAGTTGTTATTTGATTAACATGATCACATCCTTAGGAGAATGATGTGATTGACATGACCCATTCTATTAGCTTAGCACCCGATTGTTTAGTATGTTGCTATTGCTTTCTTCATGACTTATACATGTTCCTATGACTATGAGATTATGCAACTCCCGTTGCCGAAGGAACACTTTGTGTGCTACCAAACGTCACAACGTAACTGGATGATTATAAAGGAGCTCTACAGGTGTCTCCAAAGGTAAATGTTGGGTTGGCGTATTTCGAGATTAGGATTTGTCACTCCAATTGTCGGAGAGGTATCTCTGGGCCCTCTTGGTAATGCACATCACATAAGCCTTGCAAGCATTGCAACTAATGAGTTAGTTGTGAGATGATGTATTACGGAACGAGTAAAGAGACTTGCCGGTAACGAGATTGAACTAGGTATTAAGATACCGACGATCGAATCTCGGGCAAGTAACATACCGATGACAAAGGGAACAACGTATGTTGTTATGCGGTCTGACCGATAAAGATCTTTGTAGAATATGTAGGAGCCAATATGAGCATCCAGGTTCCGCTATTGGCTATTGACTGGAGACATGTCTCGGTCATGTCTACATTGTTCTCGAACCCGTAGGGTCCGCACGCTTAAAGTTTCGATGACAGTTATATTATGAGTTTATGAGTTTTGATGTACCGAAGGAGTTCGGAGTCCTGGATGAGATCGGGGACATGACGAGGAGTCTCGAAATGGTCGAGA